TTTAACTCACATCAGCTGTTTTTGCGTCTTTCATCGTCTTTGTCTCTAAACAGCCTGAAACATGGCCAGTGTCACCCGACGTGAGAAAATAATTAAAACTTTTTAGACTGAAAACGTTTCTCCATTTTTCTGTCAGAGTTTTCTTTGTTTTATGGTTTTAAAGTTTTGAGCGGTTGGCCAACACTCGGATTTGTTTCTGGCTGCTTCTAATCGATTTCTTACGGCAACGTGTCACCAAGCCTACACTGCCACCTTCTGACGACACCACACAGCCGACTTCATTCACTTCGAAGCTGTTAGTGGAAATTAGCCTAATTTGAAAAGTTTTATATTTATTAAACGTTTACTTCAAATTCACTTGACAGTTACCATTTTTAAAACAAGGCGATTGTACAAAAGGTGGAATGGAAACATCTGGACAGGCTCTTCCTTTAGTCAGGATGCAGAAACGGCATCCAAGATATAATAAAACTATCAATTTACATGCAAGACGCCCATAGCCAGTCCCAGTGCCTGATGTTTTTTGGTTCAGGTTATTATCAGGCTACAGTTACGCAGTCTGAACCCAGCATTAGGTAACAAATACGTAATCATAGCTGTAAGACAACGTGATGTTTGGTGGGTTTAAATTCTGGTTGAATTTCACTTATTTTCTTCTCATGTCTGCTTCTTATAATGAATTGTCCACGGTAAAATTGAACATGAAAGCTAAAGCTGCCTGCTATTTAACGGTAAATCATCAGTATAAGTTTTCTCATGTTCAAAACAAGCTGACTTCTGTACTCCAGCTTCAAGCTACAGTCATTCAGAAAGGTTCACTGTATTTTATATCACATGACTCATTTCTCTGACTTTCAGTAGCTCATATTTCAACGACTAAAACAGATTTTAATGAAATGAGACTCACCCATCTTCTCCTATTCATTTCTTGATCCCCATCATCTCCTCTTCTCTTTCACCACACGTCCTCCTGTCTGTCCTACTTTATTTTTCTTCTTCCTCTCCTTCTCTGACCTCCATCCATCCAACATCTGTCTACCATCTCCTGCAGGAGTTCAGGCAGAAGGTGATGCTGGGAACACCCTTTGTGGTCATCTGGCTAGTTGGTTTCATCGCCGACCTGGACATCGACTCCTGGCTGATCAAGGGCCTCATGTACGCTGGCGTCTGGGTCGCCGTGCAGTTCCTCTCCAAGTACGTCTCCGTCACAGAAATACACAATCACATACAGTTTACCAGAGTGCTGCGTGAATCGTGTTCTTCTCGATACAGCGGTACAGCCAAGCTGATTTATTTATTATCATTTATCAACTCAAAGCTTGACTTCATTTTCTTCATGAGCTGATTTAGTGGTTAAACCAGAGTTTGTTTCCAGTCATCTAGCAATACAGACAAACCAAGAAGCATGCAGTTAATACATTGAGTCATGTTTTGATTTAGTTTTGATATAATCAAATCTTTACTTTGTGTTTGCTATGAATATCTAAGTCGGAGTCACAGTGCTTAACAAATGTATCAGACCACCACCCAGTGTCAGGTTTTTGCCACCGCTGTCCTTAATTAACAGCATTAATAATTACCAAAATCATTGTTTATGTTTCTGTAATGGTTAATACACCAGTATGTAGAAGCTCTTTAACCAAAATGATATTTTTAATGCTAAAATATAATCATCATTGTTTTACAAAAAACTGAAGAAACAGTAAAACACATTGTTATTTCTTGATTAAGATGTCAAACTGTAGTTATTGACTTTCATTCCTGAACATAAACAGTAGTTTTAGTGGCTGAATGTTATGCTTGAGGGCTGCAAGGTGTCTCGGTGGTTAGCATTGTCACCTCGGGTCCCGGCAAGGACACCAGGATCTTTCTGCGTGGAGTTTGCATGTTCTCCCCGTGCAGTGTGGGTTCTCTCTGGGTTCTCCGGCTTCCTCCCACACAGTCCAAAAACATGTTGAGGTTAATTGGTAATTCTAAATTGTCCGTAGGTGTGAATGTGAGTGTGCTTGGTTGTCTGTCTCTAAGTGTAGCCCTGTGATAGACTGGTGACCTGCCCAGGGTGTTCACTGCCTTCACCCTGAGTCAGTTGGGATAGACTCCAGCCCCCCATGACCCTAGTGAGGATTAAGAGGTGTGTAGATGATGGATGAATGGATGTTATGCTTGATTCGTTGGGGACGTCTCAGAGAAGCTCAGTGGCTCAAATTTGGATATAAAAAGGTGAACTCAGTTTGAAATTCCTCATTCCTGTTCAAAATGGTAAAACATGGAGAGCTGAGTGCGAATTAAAGCACTTCATGATGCTGGTGGTCTAATCAATTTGTTAAGCACTGTAGATGTTCTGACACTAGACGCTATAGTTTAATGAATTTTCCATTCATCTCTATTTCACCAACACGTCAGCTGTACACACACATTCTTTCTTTCAAACACACAGAAGTCATTTCCAGCATTCCTCATCATCCAGTGACAAACACTCATTCTCTTCCTCCGTCTCAACCAAACACAGAGTGTACTGCTCGCTGAAACCCCGTCACCACGTCCATCTGGTCCCGTTGGGAGAGTTTGTTGTCTTCTCACTACTGTTAGCTCTGTGACTACAATAACACCCATTACCCGCTGTGGCAACCTGTATTTACTGACATTATTGGAATACTTGCTTGATGAAAGAAACTATTGTGAGCACGAGTCCAGCTGCAGTGTGTCATCATGTAATAGGGCGGTTTATTTTTTTGCTGCTGTCTGACTTGCAGGATTCAGATCAAAGCTTCGAACTCGCATTAGTCCACATGTGCTCCAGTGAGCAGGCTTTACGTCTGCAGGAAGAATGCCTTCGTGTATTCAGCGCATAAGTTACGACTGGAGCAGCGTTTGTAGTGGGAATGATACATGGTACAAGACAAGTGCTGGCTCATTATAGTTAGACCAGAACTAAATAAATACAGTTGTCAAAAATGTGCACAACTTTTGATTAGCAGGAAGGCTGTTAAGGCAAAGCCCAAAAACTTAAAGATCCCAAATGGTGTAATCCCATTTTTTTATGTCTTCAAAACTTGTGGTTTAAAATAAAAGCTGCAAAAATACATTTTTTAAAGTCAGTTGTAATTTTGTTCGATTTCTACATAGAAACTGGGGAACCAATAGTGGTCCAGCTAAAAATGTGCACAATCCTGCCCCCTGACTGTTCACTGCTTCTATAATGAGCAGCTGCCTCTCAGTCCTCCAGGTTTATCAACCTTCTGGAGCTGCTTCTGCTAACTCTGAAATGTCTCAGCCACGAGCAAGATGTTCTGCTGTTGGCCCTCTGAGTGAACACAAGGGTCTTCATGTGCTTCGAGCATCTGAAGAACAGAAGATTGTGGATATCTTTTACTATCATTGATTACAACATCACCTCAACAGTGGAAAATATTGAGTGTTAACACGTTGCATGACTAATGTGACTAACGTTACACCTGTAGGTCAGAGGTCTGTGGAAGTGGTAACTGAAGCGATGGTCAGAAGTTCTCTCATGCTCTCTGTGCTCACATATGCTATATTTTAATGCAGCTGAATTCCACATAAAGCTATTCTTATTTACATATGCTACTATTGCTGTTGTTGCAGTCAGACAACGGAGCATGTATGAAACAGTGACCGAAAAGCAGCTCATTAAGGCGACATTTTAACCATCAGTCACTTCATAGTTGTCTCCCGTCTGTGGCTCTGCACTGCGAAACCACTGGTTTAATAACCACACCGTCATCTGACAAACTCACCACATGCTACGATGGTGTCAGTTATTTTGCTCCAAGCTGTCACCAACAGAAACAGAGTCTTCTTCCTAAAGGGACCGTGGACGGCAGTTGCACAGATACATTTAAAGCTGCCGACACTGAACCAGCCCCTTTTGAACAGAACTAGAACCAGGAGTGCTACAGTCATGATGGAATAAACCATCTTTGTGCTGTTTCGAATTGAAAATTGATACATTCGGGAGACGTGACACTTTTATTGATTTGCTGAAATGAGGCAAGAAATGAACGTCCATTTCAGTAAACGTCTGCCAGTTGTGACCGTCTCTCTCTCTCTTTCTGCAGGGCTTTTTTCGACCACTCCATGCACAGCGCTCTGCCTCTGGGAATCTACCTGGCGACCAAGTTCTGGATGTACACCACCTGGTTTTACTGGTTCTGGAATGATATCCTTTTCTTTTGGACTAGAAAACAACAGCACAAGCCCGACTGTGAAGGCGCAGCGTGAGCAGCGCAGCGTTGAGTTGTCGCTGGTGTGCATGTGGTGTTAGTGTTACTGAAGCATTCAATCTGTTGACTCCACACTAATGTCTGTCTGTCACACAGACACGGAGCAACCGAAAGCAGAGCAGCGTCTTCGTCAGGGTGACTCACAGCACAAGTTTACGGGACACAAATAGCTTTTATTTAGAGTCGGAAAGAAGAAATCAGCACCGTTTTTATATATGGACTCACTGAATTTATCCTTTCATCTTGCTGCTGTAGGGAGAGCGGGGCAGTAAAACCAGGAAGCTGACAGTGACACTGAGAGCTAGACACATAAAAACCCTCCATTAAGAAGTTCACAGTATAAAAAGCGCACTAGGTTTGTGTGATTTAAGGAGCTGTCTGTTGAGATTCAGTTAGCATGCCAGAGGACAAGTAACAGCCACATAAAGTGTCCCAGGTGATGCACATCTCACATCTCCTGGAGTCGATGTAGATTGATGCTGTCTGTTCAGTGAAACGGGGGAGTGACGGACATCAGAAATCCTTCTTAAAACACTTTCTATGTGGACTCTGGCCGTGACAATGCATCAGTTTGATTTGGTTGTCTTTAGGGATTAGTTAGAAAAGCTCACAGATTACCATGATGTGCCTTGTTTGTATTTACAGTCGTGACTCGATAATCCGACCCTTAACAATCTGAAAACTTTGCTGTCCACACAGGTTTTTAGGAAAAACAAACAGAACCCAATAAAAACAGCCTTAACATAGCGACAGCCTTGGATTCTGACTCCGACATGACATTTTATGTCACAAATCAGGATAGCGGCGTATTATCTGACTGAACAATCCCACAGATTGGCTACGTTCACACTGCAGGACTTAATGCTCAATTCAGATTTTTTTGTAAAATCAGATTTTTTTGTGAGTTTGTTCACATTTCCAATTAAATGTAACTTGTATGTGATCTGCTGTGTGAGCTTCATACGACCCAGAAGTGTCCCGCATGCGCAGAAGAGGACACGACGACGTCACAGGCGGCGAGCATGCTCAGTGTTTGCGGAAGTAAACATGGATGGTAACGGTGGAGTGTATCTGCCACTCCCCCGCCGCCACTGATGGTGGAAACAGAACTGTGACCACTAACTAAACTAGCATCAGCAGCCACGTACTGCCTGTGCGTTCTGGCCAGCTCCACCCCGTCGGAGCGCTCCCCCGGGGTGGAGGTGTCCCCCTGACTACGCCAAATATTCTGATATTCATCATTAATTAGGCCACCAGAAAAGTGCTATTCAGACCAGCCCTACTAGTTAATATAACAACTATGAACAATAAATATTAACACAAACTTCAAGCCCTCCTTGTATCTCCACCTCGACGATCCGACAGCCTTGCTATCAGACATAAAAGAAGCTTTTACATTGAGGGTCGGATTACTGAGTCACCACTGTATGTCAAAATTACTTCAATGTGTGTTTTGTGACTCCAGTGAGTCATTGCTCCTGAAGAAATGAGAGTATTTCATACATTTTTATCTAGTCCCTTAAAAAGTGTGTAAAAAAAAAAACAGCAATGTTATTTTGAGATGGTTATCATATGAAGTATGTATCCATTAGCTCTAGCAGCTTTGTCCTAACTTAGAGACAGGCCGCTATGTACGCTTTAGGAATCCCCAGTTAACCTGCTATGCAAGTCTTTGGACTGTGGGAGGACGATGAAGCGTCCAGAAACACTCACACAGTCTTGTCTTATAAACAGTTGCACAATTCATGCAACGTAATCCTAGAGCTTTTCTAAATCTGTCAGGCCTACGCATATATTTTGCAATCTCCCAGCAAGGAGGATCTCAATAACATATGGTCATATAAAATGGATTTTTCCTGCTTTCTGCTGCTCTGATTGTGTTTTGGCTGGAGAAGACAAAAGATTACCAGGAAAAGTACTTGTGTTAGTGGATGGAAACACGAGTGAGATGAAGTTACGGGCCAGTTTCAAGTTTTATGTAAAGAGCAGAAGGTGTCGGTGGAAATTATGTTAAACAAATGCAGCTGTAAAGTGTCACCAGTCCCGTGCCTTCATTCTAACAGTGTATGTGCCTGCATGGATGTGCTGCTCTGTTTGTGCTCATGTTGTGAACCGGGAGTTTAACAGCTTGCTGGGTGAAACTCAGCAGAGCGACTCCAGAGAGTTCCTGCTGGCGTCAGCGTGCCTGCTCTCACGTTTTGTTGTTTTTCTGTTCATGGAAGAATTGCCTTTCTGTTCAGAAGCTGCTAATTGCAGGAGGTGAGAGTGGAGTTTTCATTTGTGGAAGGCATTTAATTTTATGCCTCATTGCTCCACTAATGGGAGGGGAGAGGAAGATGCCTTTGACCTGGGCTTATTGAAAATGAAAACAGAGCTCTGAAAGTCTTTTTAGACATTAGAAAATCCTGCTGAGTGTAGTTTAGCATGTTTTTTCTTATGGCTGTATGGCGTGTCTTTATCACATTAATACTGAGCAGATGGAAGGAGTCTGTTGCTGCGACATACATTGTGTTGAGCTGTCATGTTTGCACATGTGCATTTGTTTCCAAAGAGCAAAGGCTTGTTGATGTTACATCCTCTGCACTGGTAAAAGTTCATGCACGGATCATTTACAGTGGGGAAATTTGTCCCTTTGACTACTGACAGGTCTTTTCTTGTTCCTTTCATTCCGGCTTCTCTTTTGTCCTCCAGCTATGAAGGTTGTCATTAAGCCTGTGTATCTGTCATGACTCTCTTTGCAGTAAGGGTGTCTTTCTCCTGCCTTTCAGATGAAGGGCATGCTGTTTCATGTCGCTGACTGTGCAGGGAGGTTAGCTCTTCTCCTGCAGGCTGTGGCCTCGGTGTTGTGCAGTGCGGTCACTCTGGTGGACAGTTGGTTTTTGTTAGGCTGACTGCTTGCATACAGATCAGTGCTCAGTAGTGGCAGCGTTTTTCTAATCACTTATATTTATGTAAATCAAGCGATATCTCAAGAACACGGCTTGTTATGACTAAAAGTTAATCATAAATTTAACATTAACAAATGAGTAGCACTGTTTATGCTGTTGCATAGCAACACCAGGAGCCACATGCACATTTTCATCTGATAGCGAAAGTGTTTAAAGTCATTTCCAGTGGCTAAGATTACGTCCTTAAATGTCTTGTTCTGTTCACAGCAGAAGGTGTTCAGTTTGCTGTCATAGAGGAGGAAAGGAATTAGAAAGTATTCCCATTTAAGCAGCTGGTTTCAGAGAATTTTGACCTTTTTTTTTCTCAAACTGATAAATCAGCTCATATCATGGTAATTGGCAATTAATTGTGTAGCTGACAAATAATCGATTAAGTGCTGCAGCTCTCTCCCAAACAGTGTGCGTGAGTGAATAGCCTCTACTTTTTTATGTGCATTTTCAATTTGCACATAATATGTTAATAAGAGAAATGAAAAAAGGTTAAATATGACAGAAATTTGGTTCATTGATAAAAGCAAAATGCCAGAAAGTACTGTGGAGGAAATAAAAGAAAGAAGTCATGATGTTGCACCACCAAAGAGACAAAAAGTCAGCAGCTCTGTGGAGCAGCAAAGGCAATCCATTTAATACACACAAAAGAAACAAATGTCATATTTCCATAATTTATTTTCTACCATTTTTCCTTTTAATTGGAGCATCTCATTGTTCCTTCCTCCTCTACAGTGCATTTAGATCATTAATTCGCTCCACCAGCAGTGTATCCTACCTCTTCCACTCCTGCTTCTAATATTTGCTCTTTACAGAAACATGCTTTAATTAACTTTTTTTTTTATGACTTCCTGGAAACTTGTTTAGAACCTGCTCTAAATGAAGGTGGAAACTTGGATAGAAAACTTGTGCCATTATCAAATTAGTCATCCCCCCCACACACTCACACACACACACATTCCAATGTCAGAAAGCTGCGGGTTTTCCAAAGCTGCTCAGCCATTAAACAAGCACTTTGTTTGACGCCCGTAACCTCCTCTAACGTCCTCCTTTGTATTTATCAGGCTGTGGTGTCAGGGGAGGCTTCGGTTTACTCTCACTGACCCTTTAAAGCCCGGTTACGTAAACTGCAAACTGAGGCCCTGAGTGGGTTGTTGGATGACTCTCTCATTTTGTGATTCGAAGTTTAGAATATAAACATTTTATTTGTGTAATGGGATAGAAAATCCCAGCGTCTGGCTGGAAGTGATATATTCATTGTAGCGTCTTGGCTGACCTTTCAACTGAATGACTGATACCAAGCATCACGTTACTATTGACGCTTTTACACATTCTCATCACATCTCCACAGGACACCGAGTGCTTCGGCACACCTTTTGTTCTGCCTTCCAGGTTGAAACTTTGTGTTTTCCACATCTGACCCACTTTCTGCCATTGTGAGCTCGTTATCATCCTCAGGCCTGTGGTTGAAATCTGATCGAATGACATGGGTGGAGCAGTATTACGGCACTCTTTTTTTGTCTTTCCCAGGTTTAGATCATATTTTCCTCAATGCTCAGGTGGAAAACAAGGGAAGACTTTGCTCATAAACGGATTTCCAGCAAGTGAAAAAAAATGTTGGCATTAGATGAGGGTATACAGTCATAATCACCATGCAGCTTCTTAGTGTACCTGCTTAACTTCTGCTGCATTTATTCTGCACCAGTTGCCTGCAGCATGTACTTAGTTACACTGCATCTGCACGCTGTTAATATCTTCGAATATTCAATGGTAAATCTGCCACTGACCCTCGTACTCGGCCTCTGCTGTCAGCTGTTGGAGCACCCATGCCACCACTCAGCCCTTCTAAAGATAAATAGGTGCTAATGGGAGGTGCTGACCATCTCTCCCAGAGTAAGTGTTGAGACCTGTTTATCTGAAGCATTGCATCGATCACCAGCTCCATCGCTACATCTCCGCTAGTAGTAGACCAATGAGGTGATCTAGAGAGTGTTATTAGGTCATTTCAGAGGGGATAAAGTCAACACTCGGGTCTTTATAGAGATACTTATGAAGATCGATGGCTTCATGTGGTCCTGAGGGACTTGTAGAGGCCTCTCTCACTCAGTCGGTGCAGACAAAGTGCTTATCAGCGCTCGAGGGCATGTTGTTCCTGTAACACAGACTTATAGGGTCTCAACCCCTTATTGCTGCTTCGGTGTGATCCGTTAAGGTGTTTGGCGTAACCTTTCGAGCCTGGTGTTTCCATCAAGTATGTTTTGACAGTGAAGATCTCAGAGTTTAGTTTGAAATTAATTCTTGAGTATCAACTGTAGAGAAACAGTTTGCCTAGTTGTGCCTGCTTCCTACAGCCAAGTAGAAGAAGAGTAGCTCATTTGTGCATCTACATCGAATCCTTTGATCAAGAAATGTGGTCCAGTTAGGGTGGAGATACTGAAGTAAACATATTTTGATGAATGGTTAAAGTAGCAGGTTTAGATGTTCAGTAAACGATGGTCGTACTTTTTTGCCATGCTTGTAGCAGTTATTTGGCAACGCCGGTCATGTGGTTGGTCCACCACTTTGGTTTGAAATGAGAGAGATCACTTTTATCTTATGATGAAACATTTTTATACTGATCAGAGTGGTCTCGCTCAAGATGCCAATGCCCCTTCCCCCCCACAAGAGATTGCTGAATGCTGAATGGTTTGCTGAACTTGAACCAGATCTGAACCCAACTGAACACCTATGGGACATTTTGGACTGATATGTTAGGCAGAGCTCTCTACCACCTTCATCGAAACACCAAACAAGGGAACATCTTTCGGGTAGATGATTGTCATCGATCCAGTGGGGTTTTAGAGGCTTGGAGAATGTTCTGGTGACACGTGGTAGCACAACACCTTACTAAGATACTTTATGTTGGGTTTTCTTGAACTTTGGATCCATCTGTGAATCTGGAGCAGACATTCATGGTGCCCAGAGGACGTACCCTAGTGACTTTGTTGATTCTTTTACTCTGCTCCAGCACAATCAAGAGGTTCATGGTTTTGATTTTTGATAAAACACCTTGACAGCTGTTGGATGGTTGAGACATTCATGCTCCCCTCAGGATAAATTGTATGAACTTCAGTGGTTATTGAAATTTTCATGCAGCGCCACTATGAAGCTTAAGATTCTGGTTTATGACCAGTTAGCTGTAAAGCTTATAACCTCCCCATCAGCTTTAGCTGCACTGTGTTCAGTGTTAATTGCTGACTAACATGGTGGGCGTTGTAGACCTGTTGGCTCTGGTAATGTATGCATGTTAGCTTTTTAATTCTGAGATATGCGCTCATGTTTGATTTGGCGTTACACAGCCATAAATTGGACGGACTGACTGGTGTAAAATTAGCGTAATACCCCTTTAACTTGGAAAGGTTTTACCCACAGAGGCGTCTCACCCACTTTTCTGGAGCCAGTTACGCTGAAATGTGTATTTTAGCATGACTACTGTAAAACATAGTGTATTTACTCCTGAACTGAGGGGGACTATTTTGTGCGTAGTTGTTTATCAAGAAGCCATTTAAAACCTCCCACTGAAACTTGTGACTCTGCATCACGGAGCAGTGTCAGTTTAAACAGAATCTTCCATCTGTGTTGTTTCAGTCGCTGGATGCACTGAAATGATTGCGTCATAGTTTTTCACATCTGGATGTCACTCCAGATGTTTGTCGCCGTTAGCACACAGAGCCTTGAGCCTTCACAGTCTGGAGCTCTTGGTGTCACTTGACTGCTTTTCCTCTGGGATTCAGCTGACTCATGAACACCTGCAAGACTGACTGTGCTGCTTATCGGTGACAGTCTTCGCTGGAGGAGCCCACAGCTGTCACGCTCTTACGTCTCTGTGGTTACACACCAGACTGTGAAACGCAAGCTTATTTGTATATTCACTTAGGAATAGTGTGTCAGTCTCATGTGATGAAATAGCCTCACATAGATAATTAGAGCAGCACTCCATGGCTCTTGGTGTTTATGCGGTAGTATGAGCATGTGTGTGTCTTTTATTCTCTCTTATACACCTAATAGGAAACACTTTCCTGTCTGTGCAGTGAGTTGTGTAGATAAGAATGTACACACATGACCTGACTTCATCCCAGTGAGAGCAGGAAAAGGTAATGGTCTCTTATGTATTCCTGGAAGGAAGTTGCGATGAGCTATTGTGACAGATGGCAGTGATCCCTCCTTAACTGGGTGAGTCGAGGTGAGGCAGAGCTGCTCTCTGCGTCACAGTCGGCCTGCTCATCAAGTTAGCGTGACGAGAAACTCTGACTGAGGCAGACAGACGTCACTGTAGCAAATATACATGAAAGGGTTTTATGGCTATTTGTCATTCAAAGGGATTACTAGAACAATAAGTATTATGTTTGTCCTTCACAACGTTGTGGTAAATTACAGGGTCTCTTTGTCATGTCACTTCTGGCTGTCATCAGCTCAGTATTTATTGTTAGAAACTTTAAACAAGTAGACAAGAATGTATGCATTTGTTGTGATAGGAAACACACTCTGTGTTAGAGGAAACAGATGAGAAGTTCTCATCACAATCTCATGTCTGCGCACCAAATGTGACACTACAGCAAGAAGCCGCTTAGCCTAGCTTAGCTTAGCTTAGCATCAATACTGGAAACAAGTGAGAACAGGAATGGTTTATGTGTCAGACTGTTTCTTAACCCAGGGCGCTGACTTGCGTTGAAGCTGCTGCCAGAAGCGAGGTAGCTTAGCTTAGCATAAGACGTGAGAGTTGTGTCAATGTTCTTATTTAATTCTTGGCAAGACAGTGGCTAAAGTGTTTGCTCAAAACTATTCCTCATAAAGTAGAAGACAGTGTCCTCGCTCAAAACCAAATATTGACGCCACCGCTTTAAATACAACTAACACATTTACAGTTATGTGTTTTTTAATAGTGCTTACTCCAGCTTTAAATGACGTGTGCAAAGATTAGTTTTGCTGCAGATCCTGTGCCACAAATTGAGTCGTTTTTTTGTTGTTGTCACGTCAGGTTAAAATGAGCAGCATCTGACTGCTGTTAAAATAAACACAGAAACAGGATGTCACCATGTTCCTTAACACCACTGAACATCTCCCGTTCGCCACCGTCCACGTGCCCTTCCTGATCAACACCCTGGCTCTGTTCTACAACTTTGGCAAATCCTGGAAGTCTGATCCAGGAATCATCAAAGCGTCAGAGGAGCAGAAGAAAAAGGTAACGCCGTCACATGTCAGCCACCTCCCTGTGTGAATCTCTTTGTCGTGTCACTAAGTCTGGGTGTAGTCAGCACTTGCAGTCAGCGCTTATGAGCTTTTAGACGTGTTTGTTTTGACGTGTGTAATCACAGCGTTACTTAACATTTCAGATTCTCTGCCCTGCTGTTTCGAGCCCTTCACCTTCTCTCCCTTTGGCCTCTCTTTCCCTCATTATCGCTCTCTAACTAGGCCCCAATTCTCCATCCTGTGATTGATGAAGAGCTAAATTTACCCTCATTGTTGGCACAGCACAGTTGCTGGTCAGCTACCTCACATCAAAGGCTACAAGGCCCTCCCTTCCCTGTAGAGGATCCCCTTCCTCCTTCTGTCCCGAGATGTTGCTGAAATGAGCCTCTTATCTTTAGTTGATCTGCACACAGATTCGCTGTTAGAGCAATGAATACAAACACAGACGAGGATCACCATTCGTAATTTATGCAGTCGAAATAAAAGATAAGTCCTCGTAAAAAGCACCGGGCCTGTAAAAGACAAACAAATGTAATCCACTTGAACTATAAATTGATAGTGGTCTTTGTCCCAGCTGACTGTAAACCGGCCAAGCTTCCAGTGTGATCGCTCAGCTGTAAATCCAGCCTCAGCCTGCGCGCTGTCAGTCGGCCTTCTGTTGCCGTGCCAAACAAACCTTGGCAAGATGAATTTCTTGGTTGTTCATTCATTTTTCTGCCATGTCTCTTGTCTGTTTGTGAAAATCCTGTTTTTGTTTCCCCTCCTCCAGACAATTGTGGAGCTGGCAGAGACGGGAAGCCTGGATCTGAGCATATTCTGCAGCACCTGCTTGGTAAACTCTCTTTCCCCTCTTAAGCAAACAGTTGTTGCATATAGCTAAAGAAAAACAGAAAAAATGCAAACACGTCCTCTTTCCAACTTTCCTCGCAGATACGGAAGCCCATTCGGTCCAAACACTGCGCCGTGTGCAACCGCTGCATCGCCAAGTTCGACCACCACTGTCCCTGGGTGGGGAACTGCGTGGGTAGGTCAACAAGCAGCACAGATTTACAACACGTGGAGTCCCAAACAAGCAGCTACTCCGGGTTTTTCTTCCCAGATTGGGAGTTGTGGCTTTTGAGTGTTTTATCAGCTTCATGTCCCACTTTAAGAAGCAGCACGTCTTCTAACTGAAGGCTCTGCTTTTGATTCATTTTAGTGCTGGTGCACACAACAGGAGCAAGCTGAGGGCAACTGTTTGACGTACTGTACATGTACATAGGTTTTATTTCAAAAAGGGAAGAAAAATGTCAAGGGAAAACTAGCAGGGACACGATGCCCAGCTGCGAGTAGTTGTGAATTTGTAGAATGGATGCATTCAGTAATTCTTATTAAAACTGCACCAGTTCAAATATCACTGTCAGAACAGCAGGTAATCATACGAATATAACATAAATAAACTGCAAAAAATTAGTTGGCTTATCAAAAACACCCTAAAGCAAACAACCTGGAACAATTTGGATATTCATTAGAAACGACAAAAACCCAGGAGTGTGGTTTACTGACGAGATGCAGGGGATGAAGATGAAAACAAAAGGAAGCCACAGGGGGATATGTGTGTGTTGTTGGTTGTTGGTCTGTGAAGCAGACTGGAGACAGTAGAGGAAGGAAGGAGTGGTGGGGGGGTTGTAACCCTTCCATTTTGAAAGCAGGTGGTCAGGATGAGGCTTTAAAAGTGAGGAAACTGTCTGAACAAACAGCAGGTCCCTCCTCCTGATAGTGGCCTGATGGGACCACAGAGGGAGGAGGAGGAGGAGGAGGAGGAGGAGGCTGTGAGCCTGATGAAACTAGAGGAAAGTCTGTTCAGTGCTCAGGGTGAATACTTAGTGTGAGCTCAGCTCTTTGCATTTATGTCAATGTTTAATCTAGTCTGAAGTAGAGGACATTAGAATATGTCCACAGCCACCCGGTCACTTCAGCAGTCATCCTTCCTGTCCACTGCTTTTAGCCTCTGTCACTTGTATGCCTTCAAATGTTACAAGGAGCTCCTGTTCAAGTGGTGTGCAACTTGCTATTATTTCCATTGTTCAGTAATCTGTCAGTTAATTTCTTGATTTATTAATTAGTTGTTTGGTCCAGAAAGCTGTGAAAAATGTCAGTCATTGTTTCCCAAAGCCCAAGATGACGTTTTTAAATGTCCTGTTTTGGACACTGAAAACATTGAGTTTGCTGTCATAGAGGAGAAGAGAAACCAGAAAACATCCACTTTTAAGGAGCTGCAATAAGAAAAATTTGACTTTTTACTTTAAAAATGTTCTCAACAGCAGCATGTTAGCGTTAGCTGGCTGAAAGCATCATTGTGTGGTGTTTGCACAGAGCATCTAACATTGCTACAGACTCTTATATAGGAGGCTGTAAAACCTTCTGGATCGTCTTCATTTTCCTCCAGTACATATCTCCCGCAGTGTCTGTGGTTTGTGGAGAGTGAAGAAATGACTCAGTGCTGTTCCCTGCTAACTTCACTGGTAAAGCCCGTGCACCAGGCACTAAGGTTCTAGATCTGTACCACAGCAGCCTGGCTTCAAGTCCAGCACAGGCCCCTCTGTTGCACGTCATCCATCTCCTTCTGCCTCCATGTCACTCTTCAGCTGTTATAACAATGGAGGCAAAGCAGCCCAAAAACTAGACTGAAAGAAGAGGTGACATGCAGTAAAAGTCCAGCAGGCTGGGAATCAAACACTCTCTGCTTGGAACATTTGCACCATAGTGTCGGCAAGAGTTGGTCGCATGTTACTCAAAAACCCAAGAGCAGGAGCAGAGATTATAGAGCTGAAGTTTCACAAGTGCGGGAAGGAGGAGTGGAGTAGGAGCACAGTAAATCTTTGCAAGCAGCACTATTTTTGAGGACAGATGTACAGTTTTGAGCAAGTGCAGGTCAAATCTGTGCCCAATCAGGGACTGTTTCAGTGTCAGGCCAGCTTTGAGGAAGAGCACGTCATTGTTTAAACCTGAAAACAGGAAATCCTGCTCTTTAGTAAACTAGCTTTTCAAGCAGTTTCCCCAAAAACCTTCGCTTCAGTTGGCAGAGACGTCCAGAATCATAAACTGAGGGTGAGAAGAGGACGTGATCTGATATCAGAGCAACGTGACAACAGGACATGTTTTTTTTTTCTCCTGTGCAGGAAGTGGGAATCACCGCTACTTCATGGGTTATCTGTTCTTCCTGCTCTGCATGATCTGCTGGATGATGTACGGCTGCATCTCCTGTAAGAACAAAACCCCTCATTTGCTGTATTTCTTCCAGTTTCACATGTGACTTCTCTGCTAACTCCTCTCCTCTCTCCCCCCCAGACTGGAGGATCCACTGCGCCACCAGTTACGCCAAGGATGGTTTCTGGCTCTATCTGACGCAGATCGCCTCCTGCTCCCCCTGGATGTTCTGGATGTTCCTCAACAGCGTCTTCCACTTCATGTGGGTGGCTGTGCTCATCATGTGTCAGCTCTACCAGGTAACGGGTTTGCTGTTTGAACACCAGGTCTCCAGAATCTGAGCAGCTTGTTGTTCCTCTGAAATGTTGACCCGACCTCTCTGCTCTGACGTCTTGCAGATCGCCGCTCTGGGAATCACCACCAACGAGAGGATGAACGCTCGGAGATACAAGCACTTTAAAGTCACAGCCACGTCCATCGAGAGCCCCTTCAAGTAAGCCAGCTTTCATTCAACACTTTTGCCCATCGCATTGCAGAGCGGTCTCAGCCACATTAAGAAAAAATCATGCGGGCATCTAACTCCTACATGAGCGCACAGTTGAGGTGAAGAGAATATTTGATAGTTCAATAGTAAACAGCGCCATCCGTTTGGTTATTTATTACCTCACCTCGCTGTGAACAGATTTCAGACTTTCTGGAAACGGTCCTCATGAAAACTGAGTCAGAGCTTCACTGTCTCTGGAAACAGATGTTGCTGTTTCATTTTCAGAAAAGCAAACAGAAAGTGATGAAACCTGGGCAACCTGGCTGAATCCATCCCACGTCTTCTGTATAAATTTATCAGCTTTGAAGCCGAGCTCAAAATGCTTTTCACATCCCTCTACTATATATACACTCAGTCTAACCCAACAGTCCTGCAACAAATCCTACGTGTTTGAGGCTGTGATGTTCACTTGCTGTTGAACCTTTTAGATGTTTTAGACAGACATTTGTTGAAGGTGGGCTGCAAGGTGGTGCAGTTGGTAGCACTGTTGCCTCGCAGCAAGAAGGTCGCCGGTTCGCTTCCCGGTGGGGGCACCGGAATCTTTCTGCGTGGAGTCTCCATGTTCTCCCCGTGCAGTGTGGGTTCTCTCTGGGTTCTCTGGCTTCCTCCCACACAGTCCAAAAACATGTTGAGGTTAATTGGTGATTCTAAATTGTCCGTAGGTGTGAATGTGAGTGTGCTTGGTTGTCTGTCTCTAAGTGTGATAGACTGGTGACCTGTCCAGGTGAACCTGCCTTCACCCTGAGTCAGCTGGGATAGACTCCAGCCCCCCATGACCCTAGTGAGGATTAAGCGGTGTATAGATAATGGATGGATGGATTTGTTTCAGGTCAAGTTCATTTTGGATGAACTGGGGTTGGGACAAAATAATAGAAACACCCTCTTCTTTAACATGGAAGCTCATTAAGACGTGATCTTCTAAGCTTCGACTGTCCTCCCTTGCAGACACACAGACACCACAGATGAGTAATTGTTGCTGTTCCACTACCTCCTAGTCTGCATGGAGGCCTCTTGGCAGACTGCATTCCACACATGTGCAGTAGAACACTATCTATATACTCCACACAGACCTGAGATGATGAAATTTATGTCACAGAGAAACAGTAGAAGGATGATACTGACCTGAACAATCAGTGTGTTCAGCTATTTTGCAGCCTCGCCTGTCTTCAGCGTCATTAAGTCTAGAAGTGTTCCTGTACACCTCACTGTGAGCTCACACTGCCTCCTATTTCACTAAAGATGAATCGGATAAATTAATAGATAATTACATGAAACTTCCTCTGTCGACTAGGATTGCATCTCAGACTGTGATGTTTTTGTTTAACAAGTTTTCTAAAAATGTTTCGATATGCAAATGATGTATTTCCATTGGATGAGGCCAGCTTTAAAACGTTTCTCTCATTTTGTTGATATGTTAGATGAGATTTTGTCACTCCATGAATCTGTTATCACCATGTCTCTAGGACTAAAATGTTCTATAAATCAGGGTAGGACTGATACACAGCCAATCCCATGTGAACGTTGCATGAGGGGGGATTTCTGACTCAGAACGTAGCAGTATGTGTTATAAAAAAAAAAAACATGGAAACTCTCAACTTTCCATCCAAATTTTAACTAATACACATCAACATGAAACCTTCCCAGTTGATTACTTAAATTGAGAAAATCACTTTTTGAATTTCAAGTTTTCTGAAATTTCATATTTATATATTAATATGCAAATGACGTATCAGTCATTAAATATAAACTAATTTACATAACAGTCTTTCCTTAGTATTTGGTCGTGTTGCCTTTAAACTGTATGACTTGGGTCAAACGTTTTGGGTTCATTCCTAAAGCGTCTCACAACAGTTTGATGAATTCTGGCCCATTACTTCTGGTGTAACTGAGTCCAATTTGTTGGTCTCCTTGCTCCACACATCTTTTCAACTCTGCCCACGAATGTGATCAGGACTGAGGTCAGGACTTTGTGTTGACCGCTCTACAACACTGACTTTGTTGTCCTGAAGCCTCTCTGTAACTAATCTGGCGCTGTGCTGAGGGTCATTGTCCATCTGAAGACCTATTTAAAGCTTTAACGTCCTGGCTTATGTCTTGTGATGCTGCTTCAATATTTCCACATAATGTTCTTCACCTCATCTACTATGTGAAGTGCACCAGTCCCTCCTGCAGCAAAACACCCCCACAACATGATGCTGCCACCCCCGTGCTTCTCAGTTGGGATGGTGCTCCTTTTCCTCCAAATGTAACAGTGGTCATTGTGGCCAAACAGTAAATTTAACATTTAAGTGTGCATTCTGGATCTTTTCTTTCCACTGCTCTAAAGGAAGCGTGTTATGAAAGCAGAGCAGTCCAGAATCTCATGCATGATAAACTGTGCTTCTCTCACCCTTCCAGCTCTGTTTGTAATGACACTGTTTCCTCCTCTCTCTCTCCCCCACTGTAGCCATGGCTGCATCAGAAACCTCATAGATTTCTTCGAGATCCGCTGCTGCGGCCTCATCCGGCCCGTGACGGTGGACTGGACCACGCAGTACACAATAGAATACGACCAGACGTCTGGCTCGGGCTACCAGCTGGTGTAGAGGACGAGGAGCAGGAGGAGGAGGAGGA